TTTCGTTCATTTCTATAATCTCAATTTGTTAACTTGAAGTGTTTTCTTGACCAGTTGTAATGTAATGTATTAAATAATGACTAGGTGCAGCTCAAATATGTATTTTTCTCTAAGATATTAGTGTCTTTATGTAAGTGACATACATAAAAACCATCCCATCCCCAATATCCGATAGTATAAGTTTCGATGGGGTTATAGACTTCGATTTGTGTCGATAAAAAAGTAAATAAAAAAGTTTCGATAGAAAGGCTAGTAATAAAAGGCTGTATTAAATGTCTTTGAAGGTAAATGCAGAAAAAAGTCTTCATAAAAAGTTTGTAACTGACAATTTATATTTTACTGCAGATTATTCGACAAAACATCTTTTAATCATGATGATACAATAAATTTCTAATAAAAAAAATATTTCAAGAGTTGTTAATTTATTAACAACTTGTATCATAGATATCACTTAATCAATTTGTTTCAATGACTGATCAACAGCAACAACTGTTTCTAAATATTTTGTAACTACAGTCGAAAGTCAGTTACTTATATAGAACATCATCAATGTATCCTAATACACACTTTTAAATATTCTTGGACATTACACTGCACCACCCAGTGCCAACTTAGCGATTATGTACTACTAGGTACTATTACAACCTAGGAATTAGAAAATGTAGACCCAGACCTAACAATCCACAAGATAAATGTTCCCTCTCCATCAGGTGTAAAGCGAACATTAACCATATAGCGGGTAAAGCGCACAATCACTCAGCCAGGATCAGCAGCGATTCGAGCTTTCCCCGTCCGTTTGAAACCTAAAGGTCCTCGTAAACGAGGTCCATTTTAACAGCAATGTTCTGGACATGCTGAGGCATGCTCGACAATATTGGGTAATATTGGCAAGGGTCAACATTATAAGGGCAATATAAGGCCAATTATTTCAAAAAATACAGGGTGCCAAAGATTACCTTTTTGGGGAATTATGTGGATCGTTTGCCAACTTTTACCATACACACAGCCTTAGTGTATTTGATGTCCTTTTTACAGACAAAAAACTTAAATATTTAACATTATGCTGACTAAATAAAGACGACTCATGAAAGTAAATTGGTTTCGACGTAAATCTTGTGATTTTGTAGACGTATGTGTAAGTCAATGAAAAACTATTTAAGTACTTGAATATTATAAAAAAAAATTATTATTTATCTAAAAGCCGTTTTCCTCAACTTCCTATAAGTTTGTGACAGCCCACCCTGTTTTATTATCTGCATCATCGCCAAGAATGGCGGCCAAGGGAAATATTGTCCTAATATTGCGGGTCGAGGCATAACAACCTTTTCTCGTTATTCGGGAAATGTGGGAAAGTGGGAATATATTTGAGACAATCTGGTTTGTAATAAGAGCGGTTATGGCGGGCGACACGCGACTAAAGGCTTAGCCGTGATGAGTGGCGGTAATGTGGATGAATTATACGCAAAACGTATTATGTGTCTTGTATGATACTTACAATATTACATGCGATATTGGTGGATAAAGTTTATTTCATCTTAATTATGAGTTGCAAAATATGACATATTATTTTAGGATTTTCGAAGTTCTTGGAAGAAGTTGATAGACGCGAGAGGTTGCGGGTTTAATCCCACGAAATAAAATCTATAAATAAATAAATAAATCTTTGGACAATTTCACACAGCGTCAGCTAGCCCCTAATATAATAGAAAGTAACGTTCCTTCATTTAAAATTGCATGAAATTGAGTACCCAAATAAATACATTATTCGGTGGTAGTACAGTAATATTTGAGTCAAATTGGCTGAATCTGACAGTAAATGACCGGTCATTTATGGTTTTTGACCATAAATGACCGGTCATTTATGGTTTTTGACCATCGTGACCGGTCAGATTCAATAAATTTACATCTCTACATTTGGCACTAGGTATATAGAAATGTTGTTACTAGTGTTTCTTGTCCACTATCGTCTTAGTCTACAGACCTAAGTCAATGCATTTTATCCTTTCTAAACACAATAAAACCTACTTTAAATAGGCAAAGATTACTATTACTTGTAATAAGTTACTACTCCAACAAATAATATGCTATCAAGTTTATTGTATCAAAGACACCCGGTATAATTGCTTTTCAATGTACGAACAGACAAGATTAGTATCTATAAAAGGCGAGTTGTATTATATCTTAATTAACTGGGGCGGATTAATGAGTCGCGTTTGTGATTTTGAAATTGTTTGCAATCATTGGATAAATTAATTGAGATCGCCTGATTAGGTATGCGGGCTTTTTCGGAATAAATGAGTAGCAAAAGTTGTATCATCATCATCATCATTTTAGCCACAGGAGTCCAATAAACATAAGCCTCCCCCAATGATTTCCAATTGACCCGTTGGTAACGGTAAAATTTGTTTAAATACAGACTGATTTATCAGTAAATAGCATTTCATTCTTGAAGTATTTTTTTTAAGTTTCCACACAACTCAATTATTTGTGAAATTTTGGTTTCGGATTTGATTATAAATTAGGATCTACGGTTTACCGTTTAACATAATATTTACTTCTCTTAACATGACTTTAGGAGAAGACACCCTGTATATTGCCGCATCGGTACGACTTTGACGCTACACTGCCAAGCGGCTCAAAGGTGATGTATGGCTTCACCTGACTTAATAATTTGAAACGTAGAGTATAGATATGTATCTCAATTGTAACATTCATTGAACACAACACTAAGTCCTATGAAACTTTTATATTTTTAGTATATTAAAAGGTACAAACTTCTTCTTCGTCGCTACACTCTTGCCAGAGTGGTCGTGGTCGTCACACCAGGTCTGGTGGTACATACACTACATACTTAGATGCCTAATAAATATTTACTCAATACACCAGCAACGATCCTGTTTTTAAATATATTATGAAAAATTCTTTAATTATTTATCCAACAGTGACGACAGAGCGTCCAATTTATTTTCAAGTTAATTATCGATAACTTCAAGAACATATTTTTCAATTTTAATTAGCCTTATCATATTTAAACACAATTTTAACAAAATCTGATAATGTCAAGCATAAAGCACCTTGTTAAAGTTACTTTTCAAACTGTTTACATCATATTTTACATAATAACTAAGGCTGAGTTGCACCACCTAACTTTGACGGTAACTATGACGATAACCGGTGCTTTTTGTATGGAGTTTGACAGATTTTTGACGTTTGTCAAAGTTAAAGTAAGATGGTGCAACCCACCCTAAGAATAATAAACCTATTTAACTATGACCGAGAAGTATTGAGATATTATGAAAATATTGACGTATCTGTATTATAGATCAGAAGCCAGTTAAACCAGAATTGAAGATTAAGATGTTGTGAGATAAAGGTGCGTATCCGCTGAGAGCGATCGAGTGTAACGAGCATTCGACATGGCTGTCAAATTTTAAAACGAATGGGCGTTGAATATAATGTATTCGGAAAAATTGTCAATATTAAAACTTGATTATAAAGCATATTCAATGTTGAATATTGTCGTTCTATTTTTCATAGAATAGAGTTAAATAAAGTCCTATGTGTTTTAAATTTTTCATGTAAAAATTTACCCAACTGCCACAACAACACAATGATAAAATTTGGCTTCCAAACGAACCTGTTCAAAACAAATGTAGCGAATAATGTAGGTGTACCTAGTGAATAGGCAGCTACAAATTATATCAAATTCCTTGCCATTTCACATCAGTAGATGTTGTAAGTCAGTTAATATTATTTACTAGCGGCCGCCCGCGACTTCGTACGCGTGGATCCCGTTTTACCCCCTTCATATATCTTACTCGGTTTAGATTTTTTCATACAAATGTTTTTTCCCGCTAACTCCCGTTCCAGTGAGAATTTTGCAAAATTCTATGCAACTAAGCTTTAAGTTTACTAAGGTACCTGCATGCAAAATTTCAAGCGTCTAACTTAAGAGGTTTAGATTTTTTTTTTTCATACAAANTCACCAGATGCTGTGCATCGTCACATGCCGAATAATAATCTATTTTATATTATGATATACAGAAGCCTGTCTTTTTTATGAGGAAAGTGGTTTGACATCCAGAAATATGTATAAATTGTTCAAATATTTTACAATCAATTACAATAATCTAGATGGTTTTGACACCCTGCACAACCACTTGCATTGATTTTTACAACGAAACCAGTCAGGTATAAAATAGTAGTTACAATTTAATAGATTTTGCATAGAAATTTCCTTTAAGTTTCATGCTAAAGTGATTAAACCAGTCACGTAGAATCACGTACAAAGTGGTTTTATCTATAATTGACCGATAATGGTATTAATCTAGGTTCAAAACTAAAATTAGGTATGAAAAGTGTTCACAACCAACCTCATGTCTCGATGCAATTCTCGCGCGTGAGAAGCCAAATTGGCCGAATTCTTAAATACCACATTACACCACCTGCACGTAAGCTTAAGTTTTTGTTTTTCCTCACAAATCGCGACATGTCTACGCAAATTAAATTTACGATTAAATTTTTTACGACAAAAGTGGCAAATAAAGTACTTTTGCAAACTGCTGAGTGGGTCTACGACGCCCTTAGTTTTCTTTTTGGTTGGAGGCATGTTTTATGTTTAAATTTTTGATTACATCACAATCCACAAGTCCATGAACAATTAATTTTAATTGAAAAATTTGAAAATAAATAATTTCGATTCGTCGTGTCAACAAAAACACTAATGACAGTTACGTAATAGTGTTGTCGAAAAATCATGTGAGTATCATAAATACGATTGAATATGGAGTTACGATTACAATATTACTTATCTATCAACGGAAGCGACTATCTAGCAAAAAACCTGCAAAACTCCTCTGAATATGCTGCATTTTGTTACCGTCTATTACAAGAGGGCTATTTACTGGCCTTGTATTGTGTAATATCGCCATTTTATAATATCATCGATACTGCTATTAATCGAGTACTCAAACATTCAATTAGCATGCACAGCTGATTATGGATGGCATCCATCAGTCAGTCAGCTGTCAAATACGTGCAAAAGTGATTTTGGGAATCCTGAGATTTAACAAAAACTTAGAATAAATCAGTGTAACAGTGAAGATCTTGCGAACACTACATAAGCGCAGTGTATATTTTAAAATGTATTGAAGAGAAACACAAAAAAATACAATGGGTAAAAATAAAATGATCGCGAAAAGCTGTCCGAAGTGTGAGATGCAGGTTTGTTTTTTTTATTACTAGAGCTTTGATTTTTAATTTTATTTAGAATTTTAACCAGATTGCATTATTGGAGGATAAACAACAGAGGCTGACCATTATGTTGATGTCCTGTAACCTGTAAGTTGTGTCCTGAACCAGAGATGCTCAAACTTTTTGGTCTCATGGATCACACTACATTTTTCGATTTTAGCTGGACCCTCTAGTTTTTGCGTGAAAGAGTAACAAACATACATATCTATATCTATCGATATATATAAAAGAAAGTCGTGTTAGTTACTCCACTTATAACTCAAGAACGGCTGAACCGATTTAGCTGAAAATTGTCAGGGAGGTAGTTTAGAGCCAGGAGAAGGACATAGGATACTTTTTATCCCGTTCGAAATAAAAAAAGCCTGCTTATTTATTGCCATTAAGGCGGAACAAAGTTCGCCGTGTCAGTGAAAGAGTAACAAACATACATATTTTATATAATCCTTAATATCAATGTACATAATATTAGAGGGATATTATGTGTTGTGTAATAAAAAAAATAGAGGTTCTTTAATGTTTTTACGTAACTAGAGAACATTAATTAACTAATTACCTTATCAATAACGAGCCCGTTTTGTCATTAATTAATGACTGCTTTGTGTGGTGTTTGAACAAAAGTAATAAGAAAGCAAAGCAATCACGAAATGTGTTGTCCCTAATAATCATCAATGACTTATCACATGATGTGGGTTTTATTATGTTAATGATAGATTCCTAAAAATACCAATACCATAGCCTCAATATTATTAAACACCATGTGAATTTTTTATGATTGTGATAACAATTTGAACCTTTGCTAATACCCAAAAAATTATGTCAAAAGAAACCTTTTTTTTTATGCATAACAAGGCAGGTATTTGACCACAATCGCACCTGGTGTTAAGTGGGATGCAGTCTAGGATGGTACCTACATATTATCTGCCCTGTAAGTGATTATTCACTCTCAAATTCAAATTCATTTATTCATTGCATCTTGTAGATATATTAATCAAACCTATAAATATTTTTACTAGGTAGTCAATAAGGGGCTTTTGACGTCTCTTTTTACAACCCGATCGAGCAAGTGTGCACCTCGCTGGAATTTTTTTTTTTTTTTTTTTTTTTTTTTTTNTTCATACTGATTTACCCTACTCGATGTAAGCACAGCATGCATATAAAAATAATTAATTAAACCACCTTAAATTAAGAATATTACACAGATAAACCAGATCTTACATTTACACAGAACTAAACAAAATTTGGACTAATTTTAGACTATTTTAAATCAAGAATAGCCGTATTGATACGGCGCTTGGCGGAGACGAGAGAACCAAAAAAGATGTCAAAAACAAAACGCATAGAATTGTAGCAAGTACACATGCGATGGAATGCGACTATCCCTCCCACTAGAATGCGACTATCCCTCCCACTTACCCACCAACCTCCCTTCTTTTGCCAGAGCGTCGATGTGACGTCACAGCTGCCTGGTGCGCAGTTAACTCAATCGGGTTGTAACTTTTGGTTCCAGCAACGCTTCAACAACCACTTTGTCCATTTCCAGGTGGCAGTGGCATCTAAAGCCTGCAAATGCGGGCATACATTCTTCGCGGCGAGACGTGGCGCCGACAGCTTACCAGCAGCAGAGGACATGAAGCGACGCACCGGACGCGTGAGACGATCGCGGACTCAGTTCTATGACGCGCAGCATTATCAGAAGCAAATTAAGAGACGGGTGAGTAAGATCGCTGATGATTTGTTTCAACCTAGTGCCGTTCACTGCTGGACAAAGGCCTGCACTAAGGATTTCCACAGGACTAAGGATTTCCATAGGATCGGTCCTGGGCTGCCCGCATCTAGGTGCTTTCCGCTGATATCGACGAAAATGTTTCTATTTTTATGATATTCACTCAGCTCCCCAACCAGTCTGGCCAGCGTGGGGAGTGTAGACCAAATCCTCCATTCGCCTCTGGTAAATTAGAGAGGGTCGTGCTCCTGCAGTGGAGACTAAATGACCTGATCATGAAGATACCTTTTAAAATAACAAAAAAAAAACATAATCTTCATAAAATATCATGTGATAACTAACAATAAACATTTCTTTATTTTCAGTCTCCCAAAAAAAGATCCTTGTCTCGCTCACTGGATTACGACTATAAAGGAAAAGAGAAAGAGAGTGGTGAGTAACATTTTTAAACTAGTTCATAAAGTTAATAATAAATCTTTCAAGTCATAAAAATAAATATTGCCGATTTTTGGCTTATTCCACTATTCCCCATTGACAATCCCCGTCAATTGGAAATGAACTTTTTAGTTCATTATTCCCCGTTATATTAGGATTTTATTTTGATCGTCATGGGGATTTATAAACTTTTTAGTTCATTATTACCCATTATAAGTTCCAATTTAACTTGTGCTTGTTGACGGGGATTGTCAACGGGGAATAGTGGAATAAGCCATATTATTATATTTTTTTCCGATCAAATACCTACCTATACCTACGTCAGTCATTTGATAAGCGCTTTCACAAGATTCCAGTAGAATTTTATTCCTACCACTGCCCGGGACAATACGTAGGTGTTTTATAGTAGCCATAGAGCCACTTCAATGTAGTCCCGAAGTTTGAAGATAGAGAAGCTAAAAGTATTTGGGACGTGTAAAAGCGCTTTTAAAAATCCTATTTGCAGAAAATAAAGGAGTTATATGAGTTTTAAACAAATTCATTTCTAATATTCCAGCCACAGCAGTAGCTAGACGCAGACGCGCGCTCCGCCGCGCCAAGCGTTCCCCGCCGGCATCCGGGGAACGAACCCGTGACCCTACACCTCAGCTCCGACCCGCTCAGTTAGCCCGCTGCCGACTCATACTGCACGAGATCAACCGGAAGCTACAGGCGGTGACGTGGGCGCCGCCATCTTAGTGTTAGTGATGTGACATAATCAACAGTTGAAGTATCAATTGAAATTCTCGATAGTCTTCTTATCGATAATTTACACTTAACTATTAACGCCATCTTAGTACTAGTAATGTGTCTTATGTACTCCCCGTTCGCATCCGGGGAACGAACCCGTGACCCTACTCCGCAGCTAAGACCCGCTCAGTTAGCCCGCTGCCGACTCATACTGCACGAGATCAACCGGAAACTACAGGCGGTAACGTGGGCGCCGCCATCTTAGTGCTGATGTGACATAGTCAACAGTTGAAGTATCAATTGAAACTAAAACTCGATTGTCTTCTCATCTATAATTTGCACTATTATTAACGTCATTTTAGGTGGTCACGTAAGCGCCGCCATCTTAGTGCTAGTAATGTATCATGAGCGTTCCCCAACGGCATCCGGGGAACGAACCCGTGACCCTACACCGCAGTGTCTTATACGTTCCCCGCCTTAGTCTGGCGATCGAACCCGTGACCCTACTCCGCAACTACGACCCGCTCAGTTAGCCCGCTGCCGGCTCATACTGCACGAGATCAACCGGAAGCTACAGGCGGTGACGTGGGCGCCGCCATCCTAGTGCTAGTGATGTGACATGATCAACAGTTGAAGTATCAATTGAAACTCTCGATAGTCTTCTTATCGATAATTTGCACTTTGCTATTAACGTCATCTTAGGTGGTCACGTAAGCGCCGCCATCTTAGTGCTAGTGATGTGACATGATCAACAGTTGAAGTATCAATTGAAACTCGATTGTCTTCTTATCGATAATTTGCACTATTATTAACGCTATGTTAGGTGCTCGGTCACGTAAGCGCCGCCATCTTAGTGCTAGTAATGTGTCTTATACGTTCCCCGCCTTAGTCTGGCGAGCGAACCCGCGACCCCACCCTGCAACTTCGACCGGCTCAGTTAGCTCGCTGCCGCGGCTCATACTGCACGAGATCAACCGGAAGCTACAGGCGGTCACTTGGGCGCCGTCATCTTAGTGCTCAGTCATGTGAGCGCCGCCATTTTAGTTGTTCGATCAAGTGAGCGCTGCCATCTTAAGCCTCATTCAGAGTGGAGACGCGGGCGATTCTTTACATCTGTGCCAAAATGACTTAGAACCACGGGCAGTCACATCATAACAGATGCTATTACCGCAAACTATACGAACGAACCTAGCCATAAGCTAGAAACGCCTGCGCCTCACTCTGAATGGGGTCTTACAGCGCGGTCACGTGGGCCGCCATTTTAGATGATCGATAGTCGAAGCGAAACCAATTGATATTCTCGATTGTCTTGCCGATTTTAATTGAACTGTCATAGATATAAATTAGCATTAGAATTTAGTTTAAATGTAAAAATGTGTATTTGTAATCCAATTTTTCTCTCTCATTGTATTACTTTAGTGATATTAAATGTAAATAAATAAATGCTGTCATAGTATCTAATTTTGTTTTTATTTTTACAGTGCACAGCACGTTCTGCGGTGCCACTAGAAAATACAAAATTCCGAAATTCTATTATAATTAATAATTTAAGTAAAAAAAACATTAGAAGATGAGCTTCCTTCGAGCCGAAACAACAAACAAACATGGAGATCAAGGTGTAAAAATAAAAATGTCATAAGAAACCGGATCTTAAGTTTATATTGCAAGACGATTGCTACACGCGGGTTTTATTGTTGAGAGACTTTAAATTTTAACTACATAAACATTATTATCGAACGGATTACATAGTACATACCTACAATCTGTTGTTAGGGGTGTCCCTGGGTCAAGGGCATAGATAAATACCTAATTTATCTATGGTCAAGGGTAAATAGCATTATCTTCACCTCACAGTGTAAATAAGAAAGCCAGAACATAAGCTGGCACATACATATTGTAATGTAGGCTTAGATTAATAAAATCTAAGAATGTAGGTATTTTTGTAATGAGAGGGAAATTTTGAAGGTTTTTCTTTGAAGATTGCGAGACACCTACCTACCTACGTGTAACACGGGAGTCATAATAATTTATATAGGTGCATCGTATATTGTACTTAATTTTTTAAATAATAGGGACTATATTTCCGCCATAATAATAATAAAAATCTGAAGTGTTTGTTTGGTTGAACGCGCTACTTAGAAAGCAGACTGGTCCGATTTGAGAAGTTATCTTATTTTAGAAATAAAAATATTGGAAAATGCATCTAACAAATCAACTTTGTCTGTCACGTTTTCACGCCTAACCCACTGAACCGCGGGAAAGGACATAGGATAGTTTTTATCCCGGTTTTTCGAGCAGGGACGCGCGCGATCTAGTTTTTCTGTGATAGCCTTAATCAGAAGTGGCCATAATGTGAAATTGTGAAGAAGTCCATTACCGAGACCGTTGCCAATGCGCCTAAATCAAAATTTACGCGGGCGTAGTCGCGGGCACAGCTTATAGTCGGTTAATTTTATATTATTTGATCTGTGGCCCCAGATTGTCGATTTTTAATTACATATTTGTCCACACCGACAATCACAGACAGATAAAAGAGTCGATTATTTGTGAAATAGTTTATTGTAGCCGCAGACATCAAGATGACGCTCTGGCGTTGTATTTTGGCCGCTGTTTTTCTGGTTGGAGTGACGACCGTCAACTCAAGGTAGGTGCTACATGCTCCCATGAAATTTACACAGTAGTTAGCTACCTCTCCAATCCATGTACGCTACGAAGTCGCTTTATAGGAACTAAGTCAAACTATCTGACCTAAAAACTCCGATTTGCGGAACTCGCTGGGATGCAACTCTCCCTCCCACTTACCCGCACACCTCCCTGTGTAACGGCTCGACCGTACCAGAGGGTCGATGTGGCGTCACGGCTGCCAGGTGCGCAGTTTACTAGACCGGTTTGTAAGGTAGTCATCAAAATTTTTAATTTTTATTCATTTGAACGCACCTAATCGTGTAGATTAGATTTTCACAAACGCATTCTTAATACCTGTCAAAACTGTCAACATAATCAGCTGTCGAAAAAAGCGCGGGAAACGNTACAGACGGACAGACAGACAGACAGACAGACAGACAGACAGACAAAAATTTTAACGATTACATTTTTGGCATCAGTATCGATCACTAATCACCCCCTGATAGTTATTTTGAAAATATATTTCATGTACAGAATTGACCTCTCTACAGATTTATTATAAGTATAGAAGATAGATTTAAATTAAGATAGCATTTGCTTTTGTTTGAAAGAATTATTCGACAAATACATGTAGGTATTATTATCGATCAAACGTTTCGAATAGCCAATCGGATAGAAGTTAAACAGGGCTCAAATAACAGAATTATATTAATGAGTTAATATCAGATTCGCTGATGTGGTTCATATGAACCTCATTAATGTAGGATTTGGGTATTGTGGGTGAGATTAGTTTACAAATGTGTATTGGATGCAGAAGTTTATTAATAATAACATGTATTCAACCTACCTAAAAGCGTTATATTTATTTGATAGAGTTGCTATTGATAACTTTATACAATAAGGCAAGACTGTAACTTGACTTTGAAAAAAAAAAATACTTTGTTGAAAACAAGCGAAAACTGTGGTCAATCAGCAATGTATCATTTATGATACTAAATATTTTTGTCATAAAAGCGCTCTAATTAAAACCACATAATAATCACACAATACCTACTTTGTGCTGCAAAAATAACATAAAATAGCGTCTGTAAAACAAAGATATAATCTGGTAATACAAGACTTGGGTTAAACAATCGTACATAACTAGTACCTAACTAATACAGAGAACAGCACACCAAGCTAAACATTAGAATCTTCACTCTTTTTAACCGACTTCAAAAAAGGAGGAGGTTACGTTTGACTACATGTTTTTTTTATGTATTCTTAGTTGTAATTGGTGCTATTTTACAACAAAACTATAATCCGACTACTGATCAATGTAGGTACAGTCAGCGTCAAATAGTTTGTGACACCCAAAGTAGCCAAAAAGTTCGCAACACGTCTTTGTTTCTATTGGAATAAGGTTGTGTTAATTTTTTGGCCACTTAGGGAGTCACGAATTATTTGACGCTGACTACATGTCAACATACAAATTGATTCTATCAATCGAGTCAAAAGAACGGATCACTATAATTTGGTAATCATAGTGTTAGTTTTTGCTACTTCTTGTTCCAATTGCTTTTTTGTGCTCAAACTTTTTCTTTAACTTTAATAGCTACTTGTGTATTAACATAATTAAAGTTTTGTGTAAAAACTGCTTATTATTATCGTTTGATAAAAGTTCCAGTTTAGCTGAAAGATAATTTATATGATGTAATTTAGTTTTACCAAGCAAGCTCTGGATTGGAACCCCCAAGGAAAACGCAAGTGGTCGCCCCAAGCAAACTTGGCGGCACACTGTGGCAGACGAGGCGAAGAAGATCGGCAAGATCAAACGCGAAGCTCAAGACCGAACGCGATGGAGGACTGTTGTGGACGCCCTCTGCCCCATCTAGGGGACATAGGACCTTAAGTCAAGTCAATTTAGTTTTAAATCTTTAGTCTAATTTAAATCAACAAGAGCCAAAGAAAAGCTAAGTACCTACTTACGCATTTATAGAGTAGAATTTGTGTAGTTACTAGTTTTGGGACAATAGAATACCGGTCACTATTCACAGAAAGTCCTTGAACGGAGTTATAAAAACTTTGATTTAAATTGACTGAATAATAAACCTACAAGTCAAAAGTTACAACAAAGTCAATGGAGGAGCAGCGCTTTGAGAGCTCATAAAAAGTCTGAAGATACATAATAAATATTTCACAAAAACTTTGTCTGTCGCAATTTAGAGCAGAATCAACTCTGAACAGTTCCATTTACGAAGAAGAACCAAATTACGAACACTAATAAAGGTTACTTAAGCCCGTTTTCATCATCAATCCCTAATTTTTAAGTGACCCCTAACCCTGTGGTAACACAACAGGAATTTTGTTTTCAAAGGGGTCACTTTAAAAATTAGGGATTGATGGTGAAACCGGGCATTAGATTCTTAACGACAAATGTATGACTCTACTATATCTAGTCCACCCACATACCTACATTGGACATTCGATTTTTGTTCCAAAATCGCACCTATTTCAGCTCACATAAGATGGCTCTTATTTACATGTTACCAGAGGAATGCCTTTTACGATTCACCTGAGCATGTGTTTCCTTGAAATGGATCTAATTTGCTTTAACTTTATGCAGTTCAAAGTTTAGCTACTCGTATTTCCCTGCATTCGTCGCTAATGTCTTGTTTGTTCGCGAAAATTTTCCAACGACCTGCTACTTTAAAAGCAAGCTTAGTTTCAGAGTCTGTTTAAGGAATTAACAAAACCTGTGTGTCCGTACATAATTATAAAACTTGCGATCTGGTGAAGGTTGCAGGAGATACCTAAATGCGGGCAGTAAATGACCCTTGAACCTGTCTTTATGAAATTCTTGGAGGCCTTTATCCAGCAGTGGACGTCATGTGGCTGAAACGACGACGACGAACGAAGATTTGTTTTTACTTTTATTAAGCTTTTATCTAGGGACATTTTAATAACATAATTCTATAACCCTTTCAGTGCTTCAAGTGCTTTAAGTGCTTCGAGAGTTCGAGACAAACATTTTACAAGAGCTGAAGTACCACAAAAAATATCTAAGGACTGTTTTTGTTTGACCCAAGTTAGGTTAGAAAGGTAACAGTAGAGAGTCTCACATAGAGTTGCCAGGTCAAAAAGCCAAACATGTCCGGCTTTTGTTAGGCTTTTTATGTGGCTGCCGCGCCAGTCGAAAGTCGAGCCACAGAATAATGTCAAGCGCTCGCATCAGGGTGTTGGGCAACCGATGATGATATAGGTACTCACTCGTAACTCTCCGTGAGCCAAGCACACACGTGAAATGTCCGGCTTTTAGTGTAAAATGTCCGGCCAAATGAAGCACAGAGTCCGGCTTTTGTGTTTTTGGACCTGGCAACCCTAGTCCCACATAGCCAACTGGCCGTCCCCATCGACCTTCACTAGCAAAGCATTTCTCAACGTAAAAAAAAGAAGGAGGAACATTACAGTATTAATTAAATGATTTTATTTCAGTTAATCAGTATCAGCAGAACGTAACAAGGCACCGTTATCATTAACGAACAAACAAATTCGTCTTCTGAATTTACGAGCACTTCACAAACAACGTTGTAGTTGGGAATGGTTCTTTGACTTTCATATTCCGATGCTATGACAAAATATTGGACTTACTCAAGTAACAGATTATACATT